GTGTCATAAGTACAATTTTAAAACGACAAAAAGAAAAAAAGAAAAAAAAACAGAGAAGTGTATGGATGCACGAGTTATATAGAAGTAGAGGTACATACGATGGTATGAACCTTTGTAGTCGCCATTTCAATAACAAAAAATAAATTTTTACAAAATAGCACAAATGCGCGCGAATGTGTGGAACGCTAGCGTATGCACTGGCTCGGCACGCGTCTGTCGCTCATGACTGTTACCACAAACGTTGCCAGATGATGGTGAAAACGGGTAACAACGCGAACGAACGCGAACGAACGGCAACGTTTGTCAGATGTATTCCCGGCTTTAGACGAAGAGAGCAAATCGTGCAATTTGGATGCAGGTCAAAGTAGTTCAAATAGCATTGCCATGTATGGTGGTGTAATACGTTGTTATTTTTGCAAGAAAGAAGGTCATAAACGCAACGAATGTCCAAAGTTACTTCAGAAGAAGAACGGTAGATCAAGTAAAATAAACAATGTGAATTTGAAGAAAGGAAAATCGAATTTGGCAATTAGTGAAAATGCGGTAGATGATGTGGCGATTGTTGCTGACACGAGTACATTTGCCTTTGTTGGCCACACAAAATCATCAATTTGCTTCATAATTGATTCAGGTGCTTCTGAACATATGGTGAACGATCTATCATTGTTCAATGAATTATGGGATTTGGAAGATCCAATTATTGTAGGTGTTGCGAAAAGTGGCGAGTCGATTCAAGCATACAAGCGAGGTATAATCTTAGACCATATAGTACATGGACTGCTAATTGTAACTAAAATATGGTCAAGGACATCGCCTGGGTATGTGAGTTTCAGGGTAAACGAGTCTGTTCGAAGTTGTCCGATGAGACACGATTTGAGACTGTCAACCTATAAATTCACAAACGTCAATTAATTAATCGCCTAGATATCCCAAAAAAAGCAAACTTATTCTTATTTGTGAACGTATAGCAAATAATGAAGAGTATATAAAAGCTTCCTGTACTACGCGGTTACTAGAAAGCTGCTCTTTACGCGATCCGAGTGGTGTTCATACGACCTTAGTTTACCCTGAGATTCACATACCCACGACTACAGTGCCCTCTATCCGTGACCACCCATTTTGTATTGAAAGCATAGGGCTAATAGCAGTCCATGTACTATATGGTCTAAGGGTATAATTCGAGGAACTGTTGTTGTGAATGGAGATGAAAAACGTTGTACACTGACTAATGTACTTTTCATCAAAGATTTGAAATATAATCTGTTTTCGGTAAGCCGATTGGAGGATGCTGGTCTAGAAATGATTGTGCAGAATGGATTGGTCCATATTATGCGGGGTACAAGTGAAGTAATCACCGGTCGGCGGATTGGACGCTTGTATGAATTTGAAATGAAACGCATTTTGAATGAAAACGTACACGCGGTGATAAAATCCAATGGCAGTGTAAAGCAAAGTTTAAAACTATGGCACAGGCGACTAGCACATATGAATTACGCCGATGTAAGAAAAATGCCATCGTTGGTTAACGGTGTTGGCGTATTAGTTGATGACGCGGATACTATTTGTGAACCTTGTATCATGGGCAAGCAATCTAGAAAGCCGTTCGCCAATTTAGGCGGAGCGCGATCAAAGCGTACGTTGGCTTTGGTACACAGTGATGTTTGTGGGCCGATTTCACCATGCACATGGGATGGTTACAAATATATGGTGACATTTATTGATGACTTTACTCATTTTATGGCAGTGTACCTTATCAAAGAAAAATCGGATGTCTTCACTATGTTCCAGAAATACAAATTAATGGCGGAAACGCATACTGGGCAGAAAATAGGCGCGTTACGTTGTGACAATAGAGGAGAATACACATCTAATCGGTTCAAGGCACAATGCGAAGCATCTGGCATTCAATTACAGTATTCGATTTCGTATACACCGCAACTAAATGGTGTCGCGGAACGAATGAATCGAACGTTGATAGAGAGGGTAAGGTCCATGCTCGAAGATGGACATATGGAACGCATATTTTGGGGTGAAGCTGTATATTGTGCAACTTTTGTGATGAATCGTAGTATAACTCGAGCGATTCAGTCGGTTGCAACACCATACGAGCTTTGGATGGGGAAGAAAACAGACATTTCAAAATTCCGTGTTTTTGGTTCGCCTGCATATGTACATATTCCTGATCAACTTCGTAAAAAGCTGGATGCAAAATCAACCAAGATGGTGATGGTTGGTTATGGAGTTAATGGCTATCGACTTTGGGATTCTTCAAAGAATCGAATTATTGTAAAACGTGATGTAATATTCGATGAATCAAAACGCAATGAATCATCGAACATATTTTACGAGTCAGATCAAGCGAAGAGTGGTGTTGACGAGGCGGAGATTGACGATGTTGGAGATAAAACAACGTGTAAAGGAAAGGATAGTATTGATTCAGGCGGAGTAATAGATGTTGGACGAATTGATACTGAATTTGATAATCAAGAATTATATTCTGGCAATGAATTAGCACGTTCAAGGCGAAAGCGTCAACCACCAAGTAAATTCGGTAGCTGGGTCGACAGTTCGACAATTGAATTAAGATACGATGATGAGCATGAAAATTATCTATCCACATGTTCATTTAATACGGACGAATGCTTCTCTGCATTTGCACTAAATGCAATAGCATTCATTGATGATGTTTCCATGAAATTTGGAGACATTGCAAAACGAAATGATTCTGATCAATGGATGAAACCGGTCAATGAAGAAATGAATTCTTTAAAAAGAAATGAAACTTGGTCCCTTGTTGAACGACCATCCAACCGTGCTGTCATTACTTGTAAATGGATATTCTCAAGGAAGCGGAATGCTGCAGGAGAATTGGAAACGTACAAAGCAAGGTTGGTCGCTCGTGGGTTCACGCAACGAGAGGGGTTTGACTTCAATGAGACCTATTCACCGGTGGCGAAAATCACGACTGTACGTCTTTTGCTGGCGCTTGCGGTTGAGCGAGATTTGGAAATACACCAAATGGACGTGAAGACTGCTTTTCTTAATGGCAAGCTTGAAGAGGACATTTATATGGAGCAACCCGATGGCTTTGTCCAAGGCAAATTGGTGTGCAAATTGAATAAGTCTCTCTACGGACTTAAACAAGCGTCAAGAGTTTGGAATGAGCGTTTTCACACATTTGTTGTAAGAATTGGTTTCTTACGTTCGCAATATGATCAATGTTTGTACTTGATGGGCAGTGGGGCAAGTATGATCTTACTTTTATTGTATGTGGACGATTTAATTTTGCTTGGAAAGAATTTGGATAAGATTTTGATTGTTAAGCGTTTGATTGCAGCCGAATTTGAGATGCAAGATATGGGTGAAATAAAAACCTTCCTTGGCATCAATATCCAAAGAAACCGTGATGCTGGGACATTATATTTAAGTCAACGCAAATATCTCGAAGACGTTCTACGTAGATTCAACATGAATAATTGCAATCCGGTTGCCACACCAATGGAGATTCAAACCAAGAAGATCACACGCAGTGAATCAGAATTCACGAAGAAACCTTATCGTGAACTGATTGGCTGTCTTATGTACATAGCTTATGCAACAAGACCTGATTTATGTGCCGCTGTCGGTTACTTCAGCCAATTCCAGTCATGTGCGACTGATGAACATTGGATTGGTGCAAAACGAATATTAAGATATGTCAAAAGTTCTCTTGATTTGCGATTATTATACAACTGCCATTATAAATCACCAGTATTGGAGGGATTTGCCGATGCTGATTATGATAGTGAATCAAATGAGCGAAAATCGATTTCAGGAAATATAATCAAAGTGTTTGGTTCAACAGTTGGATGGACAGCACGAAAGCAAACGTCCATTGCTTTATAACTACGGAGTCAGAGTACATTTCTTTGGCGATTGCTGCTGCTGAAATTATCTGGTACCGTGGTATATTATGTGAAATTGGTATATCTCTGGATGGACCAACGATTATTCATGAAGACAATCAAGGAGCTATAAAAATCGCTTTAGGTGAAAAGGTTTCACAACGAACAAAACATATTGATATAAAATATCATTTCATTCGTGATTGCATTGAGAAACAAATCATCAATCTTCGTTATATTAAAATGCAAGAGCAACAGGCCGACATAATGACAAAGGGGTTGTCAAAGAATGTATTCCAGTACATATGCAAGAAAATTGGACTTGTAAATTGATCTGGATATTATTTTTTTTTTTTATAGTTGTTCTGTTGATTAGATGTAAAGTAAGCGATTCAAATATTTAGGATTAAAATTGAATCGAGGCGGACTGTTAGAATGTATAGATAGTAGTCGGCTGAGGGTAATTGTCAATTAATAAATAAAATAGAAAGTTATCATTTGATTGAATTAGTTTGTATTCATCTTCCACATTAAAACAAGATAGTTGGCAATAGAAACTACCAACTTGCAAAATTCGCAGACACACCAATCGACATCATTGAGATTTTGTATGTTTTGTATTCCTGTTACTTCAAAACGTGTATTTCCATCAAAAAAGTGGGGGGGGGGGTCATTTTTTACCATATGCAATACCTGCCTTACTAACATGTGGTAAAAATGGCACAATTTATTTATTTACAAACAAACACATCAAACGCTATCCATTAAAGAACATTGGAAAGCTTTTTGGATAGAGCATAGTAACACAATTTTTAATCAAAATTTAATCAAAGAACCGTCCAGTGAAGTATGATCTTCCAAGAAAAATGTGGGTCAAATTAAATTAAATCAGGACATGGAAGATGCAATTACATACTACGCAAATAGAACCCGAACACAATCCAGCCTGCCTATGTGGAGATCCTAAAGAAACAATTGAGGAATTCCCAAATTCAAAATTAATTTTTATGAAATTTAAGCTTTATGAAATTAAATTTGTCCTGGCACCATAGTTTTCACAAAGTTAAAAATTTATTTAATTCAAAGTTTCACACAATTAGCCCACATAATACTTACCCAATTGCAATCCTCAAATGTAGAAACATTCCATTGCTGTAAAATGGTTGAGGCAGTAGAAGGTAAATACGAATTCAATTCGGTTGCCAGCGTATCTGTTAATGTGTTTCGGTTAGAAGCAATTGCTAACACTTCCTGAAGACCCTCGAAGTCTTGTAAGGAATATTTTCTTAAACAATCGTCACTTTGGTGTATTATACCATGTAAGAGTGACCATCTAATTAAAAAATGATAATAAATGCACGGATAATGAATTAACATACCTAGTGCAATGTAAAATTGCTTGGGTGAGCCGTAAGACATGAGGTAAAAGATCCTGGACGTAGGCAGCACCAGAAATTGTTACGCCTGATGCATCTGCTGTATTAGTTTCCGCTTCATCTATTAGCGAAACTTGTACTTTTGCTAGAACGGAATCTAACAAGAATAAGTGCCACAAAGGTGGCAAACTTTCTTTGGTAACCAAGCCTATTAAATTTTAAATTGAATAATTAGAGTGTTTGGAAGTATTGAATGACAATTACCTTTTTTGATATCCGGAGTTAGAGCAATAATACAATTTTTGGCAGTCGTTACATCATATTTAAGAGTATTTACAGAATCTGACACGGTTTTTAATAATTTCTCTGTATGTTGAGTATACATCCCTTGTTTAATTAACGCATCTTTTAACCAGCGATTAAAATTTTTATGTCCGGCACGTGCGCCCCAAATTAAAGAATGTAAAAGTAAAGGACCTGTTGAGAGACTTTCACCAGTAGTAAGACGTTCCATGTAAGGAGAAGATGGAGGTAAAAGTTGTAACAATCTCCAACAAATTGTAAAGCAGTATTGTGTAGCACATAATCCTAGGAATGTCATTTTTGACGCACCTGTACCAGATGCGATATGCGTAACGTTTAATATCTCAATTAAAGCATCTAACAATAGTGGATAACGTAGTTTATCAGGCGTGCCCAGAATAAAATTGCACGCCAATCCATCAAGTTTCGGAGCTTCTTGATTATTAATCTCCAAGTTAGTGACTACATAAAAACGTGGTTTCATAGTGAATTCGTCATTTCCCGAAAGTTTCCTATAATTATCCTCAATTTCTTTCCACGGCGTATACATGCGTGACATATTATTATCCTTATCTTTGTCCGTATTTAGGTTTGTCGAATAAAATAAATTCCACTGTATCTGTAAGTATAAAAATAAAATAGATATAATGGTAAAGCACCAAATCACCTGTTCCAAAAGTAAGGGCGGTGCATCGTACAGATGTTTCATAATATAATCAAACAGGAGAAGCAAACGTGACAAATGGAGAAGTTGCGCGTCCTTCAACGGTCCTCTAGCTACTTCTGAACATCGTAACACTCCACCAGCCATCAGAAGTACAACAGATTTTTTTTGCATTAAGTTCAACGAATGAAACAAATACAGTAAAACCTGAGCATGTTCCACATTTAAATCTGCAAATAAAGATTAAAAAGCATATTCATTGCAGCAAGTCCACATTTATTAGGTTTAGTCCAGTAACCTTGTTCCTGAGAATGGGAGGTACCATGCGTCAAATCCGGTAGTTCTGATTTTTTGTGGGATTGTTTATGTTGTTAACCCAATGTATAATTCAAGTTTTCGACCTCGAGCGGCGAACGCAACATAGTCAAATATACTAAAAACCAAGGAATTTTCGTTTTCTTTTCAGATTTTGACGATTTTAGCCCTGAAGGACCAGTCTTTCGCCAATAACTGTTCAATAAGTTTTCAAAGCAGACCAAATTAGCTATAATTTAAGCCCACTTCAGTTTGTATAGGTCTAATAGATTCCATGATAATGCTTTTCAAAGATTGTTAATTTTTCGAATTCAAAAATCTTTCACAATACTTTGTGGGTAACGTTTCTATTTTGTTTGAGACAGATGCCAAGAATGGGCGGTATTAGGCTGAAAATAAAACGAATAACGAATTTTGTAAGGTGGTAGTTTCTGTTGCCAACTAAACTGTTGGACAATCATTAGCTGTTAACGTCAAAGATCCAAGAGTGTAATCGTTTGATTTATTTCTGTTCACAGTGCTGGATATTTTTACTTTACAATAATTTGATGCCGTTTCATATTTTCCCTGATTTCTGATCTAGAAATGGTGGAGGATGTATTGTGGAGAGATGTTACACAAGGTATTGACAATCTAGCCACAAAGCTTTCAAGCTCGCTTTCAAGTGAGGAAATGGACGATGCTCAACCGTGCTCGTCCAAGAAGGGAAAATATACTTAGATGGAAATCAAACAAAATTTCTTTTTACAAAATGACTGTTTCGAAGTTTAATTAAGAATATCATTTACACCTCTCATTTTCTTTTATAGTATTACAGAACAACAAAGTACTGCTAACAATTTTCAACTTTGAAAAAATCGATAAACTTTGAAAAGCATTATCTCGTAAACTATTACATCTATAGAAACAGTTGTAGCCTCAAATTTTAAACAATTTAGTCTACTTTCAAAGCGTATTCATTAATTATTTTCGACAAACTGGTCCTTCAGGGTTAAAATCGTCAAAAACAGTAAAAAATTGAAAATTTCGCGGTTTTTTGTATATTTCACTATGTTGCGTTCGGCACCTGAGGTCGAAAACTTGGATTATATACTGGGTCAACATCATACACAACTCCACAAAAAATCAGAACTACATGATTTGACGCATGATCTGATGTATATGGTTACTGGACTAGTTAAGGTGGTGTTTACATTGAAGAATTTGGAAATCACTCCCCGCACCGCCCGCAATATTAGAATAGTGTCGCTATCCACCACAAGATTCCGCTACCTACCATATTCGAACGTAAAAATAAACAGATAAGGCGCAACTGTCGAGATAATAATACAGGGTGATTCCTATAGTACCTGCCACCGTTTGGGAGCGTATAGGGGGTGCCTAGGGGAGTATTTTGATATAGGACACTTGGGGTCGGAAATCTAAAATCAGGGCGCCAGAACCAAATTTATCTTCTGGAATTTCACGCCTGTATGTAGGCAACCCAACCGACCGACGTTTCGCGCGGAGCGATGCAGAGCGAGTTAGCGCGAGGAAGCGACATGGGAGGGAAGGAGGGAAAACGACAGTCAAAAGCAATAACGTTTACAAGTGTTCAACGTGGCCACCGTTGTTCTCAATGCACTTCCTACATCTAGCCAACTATTATTATACTATTGCCATAGTGTTTATTCACTTGATACGCGTCGTTGCAGACGGGATTTCGTGGGTTTAAACAAAATTCTGATCAAGTGTCAGCCACACATCGCCGCCTGAGATCGCTCCGTGTGCACCGCCGGCCGGTTGGGTTGCCTACCTACAGGCGCGAAATTCCAGAAGGTAAATTTGGCTCTGGCACCCTTATTTTAGATTTTCGACCCCAAGTGTCCTATATCAAAATACTCCCCTACGCACCACCTACACGCTCCCAAACGGTGGCAGGTACTATAGGAATCACCCTGTATACAGAGGACGATCGCTGTAATTTGATATCTGTAATTTATAGAACTGGGTTTTTAGCATTTGTATTCAATTCATATTCCGCTTTCTCGGTTGCTGACGTTTACCGCGATTGATTTCGTTATAATTAATTGTATTACCAAGTGCTTTATCTTCCCAAATAAGTAAAAATACCTATTTTCTCTCAAAATAATAAATTGACCTTGTACGAAATTGAATAGGGAATGTCAAAAATTATCGCAATTTTCTTTGCACCCTCGTTTAGGCATGCGCCGTCTTCGGTTAGGAATTTTCGAAAAATTGGAAAGAATAGTTGTGTCTGCTACATCCTATATGAGTAACTAGGATGTAGCACCGAATTCTACTATATGCACTTAGATCTCAAAAATTTGAAAATGGTATAAGTTCTTAGCGCACCTTAGCAAAAATTTGTAAATAAAGCTGTAAATAGTTTGGTAAAAACATTTCGTTCAACAGTGCATTTATTTTAATAATTCCGGGCTGCGGCGTATTCCATTTCATGCTCGTGAGCAAATTTTTGTACTACCTACTAAAGTACTAACCATTTCATTTTTAAACCTTTATAATTAAATAAATGAATTAGATTATAGACCTATAATTATAATTCATTGCAACCTCATGAAGGATATCTACGAATCGAAGAACTAGCGAAAATTTTGCAGGATTACATCAGCCTCTGTATTATCTAACTCCAATATTCTATTTCTAAATTGACTATCATGTCATTATACTCGTAAAACAGTTATTAACGAACTCCTAGCGAGTTTATAATGTTGCGGTGTCTGTCCGTCTGTCCGTCCGTCCGTTAGCACGATAAGTCATAAACGAATGGACCGATTACGATGAAATTTTGCAGGTGGATTCTTTATCAAATTTGTAGATCGGAGTTCGTGAATTGGTATGTAGACCAAAAAATAAAGTAGGCCCTTTTGACACCTCCGTTAGTTATGAACCGAATTGCATGAAATTCAATATGCGCATAGCTTTAACCATATAAAACACAATTTCAAAAATTGAGCCTAATCGATCAGCATGCACAGTGCCCTTTGCGCAGGGGCGGACTGGGTACTTACGAACCAGGTGTAATTGCATAGGTTACCGGCCAATTTTTTTGCTTCATTTTAAAGTATTCGTTTCTCAAAAATCAATTAGAATATAGTTTTCTTTAATTGCAGAAGAGAAACGTGTTAATAATTTATTAATGGTGCAAGAAACTAAATACAGCACATACTTATAAATAGTGCTAGAATGTTAATGACGTTAAAAATCAGCGAAAATGCAAAATAAAAAATGCAATTACGACAAAATTTCGCAAAAAAGACATAAAAATTTAAAAAGATGAGCTTTTAAATAACAAATAAATTTATTGATGAAACTGAATAAGACGCAAAATTTCAGTGGTGGTTCATTTCCACTCTCTGCAGGCCAGTCGTAGAAACTAGGTATGTAAGGTACTGACTCATTTAGCGCATCCCAAAGAAATTGAATCCCTTTTAGTGGGCATTTGTTTGTGGACGACTTGAGCACGTTCCAAGAAAACGTTAACTAGGCATTTAGCTTACAATGGAGGTTCAGTGGTAGAGAGTTGGGCTATAAATCCGGAGGTCGGGTGTTCCAACCTGGGTTGAGGTGAATTTTTCATCTGTGACAGAGATGAGAATTAGACCTTCTGCAGAGACACCTCTAAAAAGCATTATGCGGGTCACTCTGTAATTGGGCGGAAACCTGTTGAGGGCCCAGAACAAGAGAGAGATAATGAATAAATAAAATAATAAAACGTCTGGCATAAGAACCCATTGACGATAATGCTCTGTTGTAATGTAGGTAATATGAACTTGAGAGAGATATATTCTGTTTGGTCTATTTTTTATTGCATATCATGAAATGCGAGTATAGGTACATAGACCGGGAGATGGTGACACTTTTTGTGGTGTGATTTGCTACAAGTATGGCGACCATTCAAAGGTTTAATTAAGTACTCCTCAAAACGAAAATGGTTCTCTCTGGGAGTGGGGCCGTTATTGCGTGACGATTGTTTAAACATGTCGGAAAATTTAATGATTTTGGACAATTTGCTACACAAAATTCTTTGGATTTTCTGGTAGTCGGTGACAAAACAAATTACGGAAACGAAACGCCATACTTTTCCGGTGGGCCTTATAGCCCGCCATACTCATTTGAACGTGTCGATTGTTTTTTCTTTTTTTGGGTGATTTGCTACAAACTCATTTTTTTATGAGCATCAAGTACTCAATCAGTCATTCACGAAATTCAACCTGCCATACCGCAGCGACGGGCCCGCATAGCCGCCATACCGGCACAAAGATGTCATTTTTGTTAATCATTTGAGGGATTTGCTACACCCTATACATTTTTCCACCAGTTATTTTTATAGTCAGAAATAGAAATTTCGATACGCCATACCTGTGGCATGGGCCAATTATGTATAATATTTTTCCAAAAATGTAAGAATTTTCGGAAAATTTGGGCGATTTGCTACAGTATGGCATCAATTTTTCGTGACAGTTTGAGGTGTAATAAAAGTAAATATCAAGTTTCAAACATGAACTCCGGGCCAATCTTGTTTTATCACTAGTCGCTTAATATTCTCCGCCCCCTCGAACCTCTTAGTCAAGTTGTAAAGGTCCCGGTCGGGGTCGTTGGTTTCTGCATTGCATTCAATTGATCGCAGGTAGTAGGTAGCAGCTGCCGTCAAGTATCTGAACACCCAGTGTACATCAATTTTGATAAAATTTTAAGGCCGTCCTTCAAGACAAACATAATATAATACAAAAACCCATTGTTCTATCACGCGTGTAATAATTGCATAAAAACTATTCAATGCAATACTGTAATAATGCAGTAGGTAAATAATCCCAGCTTCTGCGGACAATCCGTTGTTGAGCTATAAGGGAATATACCCGCCCGATTACGATAAGATTTCGAGGAGGAGGGATATGGTTGGTAGAAGAGGTAGAGACTTTTAATTAGAATACAATGAGAGATAAAATTAATGTTTAACCCTCCCCCGGCCCCGTTGCTCACTGATCTCGAAAAAGAGTCGCGCGGGAAAGTTATAGTTTGTACAAACCAATTTATTTTGATGAGACCTTTCATTAGAATACCGTGAAGGGTAGTACATGCCCCCCCCCCCCATTTTCTAAAGCTTAACTTGGCACCACTAAAGGCATGCATATGCATATGACATCACCAATGGATATATTTCTTGCAGACGTCTCAATCGCCCTTTGTGAGTACCCTATTCCGACAATCTGTTCTTGAGGTATAAGGGAATATACCCGAACACGATAAGAGGTCGAGGCTATGGTTTGTAGAAATTAATTCCTGTCGTTGAGCCCTTTCATTAGAGTACCATGAAGGATAAAACTAGTTCCACTCCCCCCCTCTCCACCCAGTACTTTGATTAGAGGACAGAAAGAAGGGCAGTAGTTGGTAGAAAACGGAAAACGGCTCCTTTCGTTGAGACCTTTAATTAGAATACAATGAGAGATAACATTAATTTTTAACACCCCCCTCCCCCTCGGGCCTCGTCGCTCACTGATCTCGAAAAAGAGTCGCACGGGAAAGTTATACTTTGTACAAACCAATTTATTTCGATGAGACCTTTCATTAGAATACCGTGAAGGGTAGTACATGCCCCCCCCCCTCCAATTTTGTACAGTTTAACTTGGCACCACTAAAGGCATGCGTATGCAAAATCTGATACCAATTGGTTATCGTATGTAAAAGATATGCACGCTTTACTTTGAAAAACAGCATCTCAGGAAATAATTCGTATTTCAATAATACAATACAATATCAAATATCAAATTAAAATTCCATGCGTCCTACGTACGAAATTCAAATTACGTACTTTCATTGAATAAAATGTACTTTGCCCTCTAATGACGTGAGCGACCTCCCTCTTATAATTGCTAAACTGTGTAGCATAGAATCGCACCCGATAACGATGAATACATTTGGAGATCATGGCGTTGCCGTGACGATGTGCCTTGGCTCAATAGATGTCGTCAAGAAATTTTCTTTCCACAAAAACGGCCTTTAGAGTCAACATTTTTGGTTGAAATAACATTCATTCAAATATATAATGTTCAGACATTTGCATGAAACAAAAATTATTTAGCTAATTCCTGTACTTACACTGTTATTTAAGAAATAAGAATCTTAAAAATTAGCCATATTTATCTTCCATTTTTATCCCACACTGATAACAATTTGTTACCAAATTTACTTCATTCACAAGTTTAAACCTTTAACTACAATCGATCGTTTACAGAAGGTCATTCTTTTACTTCGCAACAAAGTTATTGTGGAAATCGCAATGACACTTTTGTACTAGTTTACCATACATTGTAAACGCCACCTTAACCTATGTCAATATTTCTTTTGGCAATACTCTCTAAAAGAGAAAATTTAAGAGATTCAAAGTTGGACGTAAAATCCACACAACATTCACATTTGCCAATGTCATAAAAATTTTAAATCAGTATCCAATTCTTTATGAAAGAATATGAAGGTACCATTTAAATTTAAATTTAGGTATTCGGTGCAACAAACCCTAACCCTGTGTACCTTTATTAATGAATATAAATGTACCAAAAACTAAGGAATCACTTCTTCAGAGTCTTAAATAAAGCAAAGCAATTGAATATTTATTGTCGTTTTACTTTATAGTCATGGATATGGACTAGTCCATAATAGTGCAAATTATGGCCGCTAATAGTTTATTAAAATCAAGTCATTATCAAGCAGTTGGACATAAAAATGCATTTTGCAATAACAGTCCTCGCAATTATTTTCCCATCGAGTGGTTAGATGCTGAAGTCAAATAAAAAAATTACTTCAAAATAAAATAATTTTATAATAATAATGAAACCAGTGGAAATTTGACATAGGAAGAATGCAACTGCAAGATTACTACAGCTTCAAAGTATTCTAGTGTTAATTACAATCTTCAATTCTTACCTTCATTCTCTGAATCAACAACAATACTAGGGTTCATAACACTTTCTATAAGAGTATTGACTAGTCTATGCCAAATACTTATCACAGATGCTTCTTTTTCATTTTGTGGACGAAGTAATAAAACCTGTAACACAATAACAACTGTATAAATATTAATACTTACTTAAAAAATGAATTCAAGTTCTATGTACTTCTTTTTTTTAAATTCAAGTCCATAGAACCGTTTTTGTGACTACGGTTAATTTAGTGATTAAATCTATATTTCTAAGGCGAAATAAGAAAACCTAATTGATACATGGTGTCTACCTGAAACCTCACTAATTTTCAGATAACTATTATGTTTTGCGGTATATTGCACAGACACTCGTTAGTATGGTTCCATGTAGGATACTTTTGTATGCTGGAGTTATAATTATAGAAGAGCTGATGGCCCCCACAATTCTCTGATGAATATATACATGTAGATAGACTTTGTCTTTGATATAACCCTACAAGAAAAAATTCAGATCTTCGATGTGAACCATCCTGCCTAACCATCGCTGTGGGAGTGACAATAGAAAAAGACATACACATACACTTTTGACTTTCTGTACATTAAACCGCACACCGCTACTATACAACTAACATTTTTTTAAATGAAGATTTAAATCAGAAAGGTTTCATACCGACAACTTGTATTAGGGAATGTAATCTCAAGATCTCAAATTCGAAATATTTTTTCAATCTAGGGTAATTTTCGGAAAAATTTTGATTAAATCGGATAACTAAAACGCGATGAATACTACTAACATGCGATTATACTAATACCAACACTTTTACTATTCTATTTGTGAAACGGGGTCTAGGACACTTCGCCGAATGCCCACAACGCCGACACGATTTTTTGAAGGTCCATATCGCCGACTAAGGACACTACGCCGACCGTGCCCACATCGTCGACAAGTGTGCAAGGGACACAACGCCGACCATGCCCACTTCGCCGACGGACACTACGCCGATCGTGCCCAGTGCCCACATTGCCGAAACGTGTGCAAGGGACACTAAACCGAACGTGACCACAACGCCGACTGTTCGAAAATCCAGGCCCCTCATACTCTGTCCAGTGTATGAGTTTGCATTTTAAAAAGTTTAAAAAACATGTCCTAAACCTACAAATAACCTAATATCGAAAGCTGCTTTGCTTCACACTCCGTCCAGTTTGATTAAGAATTTTCGTATGAGTCTGTAGTTCGAAAAAAGTTTAAAAAAATGTTCTGAACCTACAATAACCTCGTCAAAAGCTACTTGGTGTTGCACACCGTCCAGCTTGATTAAGAAGTGTTGTATGAGTCGACGTTATGGTCACGTTCGGCTTAGTGTCCCTTGTTCACTTGTCGGCGATGTAGGCACGGTCGGCGTAGTGTCCGTCGGCGAAGTGGGCATGGTCGGCGTTGTGTCCCTTGCACACTTGTCGACGATGTGGGCACGGTCGGCGTAGTGTCCCTAGTCGGCGATATGGACCTTCAAAATATCGTGTCGGCGTTGTGGGCATTCGGCGAAATGTCCCGGCCTCGTGAAACGCAGATATACATCATAAAAAACCAAATTAGTTTTTGGTTTTTGTGCTGAATAAAGTTTCATAATACTGTATTTATCTTTACAATAAAATAGGAACCAAATTCCAAATTTTAAGTGAAATTTGTCAATTTGTCCATTTAAAGACATAGGGAAATTGCACATACATATGTAGTCTATTACTTAATATTTAATAATATTAATAATGTTTTGCAGCAGTTTAGCCTACCTGAGCTAAAACGGCTAAAGTACGTGGATAAACTTGCATAGGCCAAGCATGTGGAACATCCGTGTTCCAAGGAGACACGCCCAGATGTGCCAACAGACTTGTTTGTAAATTATTTAACCCTACATGGGTTACTAAATTATGAGTAAACCTAGTAAGTGCACCGGAAAATTCACAATACAGTTGACCCAAAGCTGTACCAAAATAAAGCGATATGGTACCAACATCCGTTCTGGCAGTTTCCCTGTCAAGATCTCTAATAATAGCGGCTAATATAACCATCTGTTGTTCTGTTAAGCCTGCTTTCACATAGCGTATTACATAAGCACTTCGTGAACACAAAAAATGTCGGTTTAAGAATAGAAATATCTGCGTGGCCAATGAGATATAACCGTGTGCTTCCCCCTTTTCTGGAACAATTGAATTTGCTCTTTCCCCTTGGGATTGTTTTGTTTCTACATTTTCGCTACTAGTAGTTGCTTTGGTGTCTACAACGTCCGGAGGTGCCAAGGTATCTTCAAACCATTGCCCCAATATTGGCTCACTGTCATCATCTAATAAAAAACTCAAATTACACGTCAATTTAAAATGTTTGACACAAACCTTCCGTAGAGCTTTCGTCAGAGCACATAATCATGTCTTCATAATAGGTTGTAGAATCACTTTGACTGAACGTATCGCCTTCAGGGGGATGAATTCTTTTCAAGGTGCATGCTTTACGATAACTTATAGTAGCTAAGTAAAATAATAGTTGGTTTATAGGGGCAGCTCCTAGCAATCGAGCAACCCGCTGTAAAGCAGAAAACTGTCCCATTATTGCCAAGGGTGCAGGTTCGACCTAACGCAAAAAACATGTCAATTGTAAATTAAATCTTATAACAAACAATACTTGTAATGTGCTCCCACCTCCACCACACACTTCTAAATGCAAATCGTCAAACAACTCTGACATCAATGAAAGAGCCCTGTTTGCTAATGCTACAGATAAGACGCCAAAAGATTGTTGAAATTTGATAAGACTTGATCTAGCAGAGCTTGACTCGCGGGATTTACTCGGACTTCGTCCTTTATCTTCTCGTTCTCTGACGTGAGTTCCCTTTTCACCTATTGGTGCCATACTGTGCGAGAGATGCGTTTGCAACCCTGAGATTAAAACCCACGCTCCTGACAGCAAGTGATTTTGAAATACCTACGAAAGCAAGTCTCAAGTTACTGCTATTGGCAAAAAAAAGTTACTTACATGTCCTCCGGCCCGTGTAGAATTTTTAATGATATTTCCAATAAAAGTGTGCATATTCAAAGCTTCTTCAACTAACATTATAGCGTTTGAATCCAAATCTTCATCTTTAGCTGCTTGTGCTTGAGCGGAAGTGCATTTTGGGGAAACTGCTGAACCCAATGAGAGAATTGAACTGGCAGCAGCTTGTGAGACCGCACAATACAAGGTTGCCATACTTAAGTTACAGAGCTTGTCTAATTTGCTAGGCGTGAGAGGTTCAAGAACTGGTAGATTTATTGCTGATGACGCTAAATTGACATCCGCTACAGTAGATGACAAACTGCAAAAAAGAACATTGTTGTTGTTGTGAGTACTTTATTTACTACAATTTAACAAATGACTTCACTTTTTGTAGATGCAAATGGCAAATTTAAATGCTATCATTATGTACAACTTAAAAATATTCTTGGTTATGCCACGATTGTTAAAAAAAAGTACTCTGGTGCTGACCATATACATTGCCGTTGCATAAAAATTTCCTTAATTTTTTACCACTAAACTCCAGTCTCCCTTACTGTCATGTCAGAAAGAATACAATGACAATATCATTTGGTAATGCTGTTTTCAGTCCGATTCAGTCATATAATTGCTATATTTATATCACAAATATACTTTTTTTATTTGCCTTTATTGTAACTATAACGAAATTTATCAACGTACCTGTTTCGCAATGCAGTGGCTTCTGCATGGGTTGTAGGAAGACAAAAGGGTTTGCCGGCCAAAGCATCTTCAACTTTAGTGCGAGCTCTTTTAATCGAAGACAAACTTAAACATAAGTCTGCTAAGGTATCTCCGGCCCGAAGAGCTTGTAAACTTTCCGTATTAGCTGCTAAAAACAATTTCTAAAAATGAGATGCCATTTCAATAAACATAATCTGTAAATAAGTACGACCAACTTACATTAATTTCTGAACTAGGATCATTAGTATTTACAATTTCTGTTAAATTAACTTGAGCACTTGAACTCGCTTCTGATGTGGCTAAACCGTCTCGAAGGGGTAAGGTCAACTGTTCGAAGATACTCACTGATAGATCGGCCTTCATTTTCGTACTTTCTTGTTTCGAAGCCATATCCTTGTCCCCTCCTTCAACAAACAAAATCATTTAAAACAACAAATTTCGTAATTTAGTGACGTTTGACGAATTTCAAGAATGTATCAGTAGTTATGTTGCATTTTTCTTCAATTTTTTAAGAATGGTGCATCCTGTAATAATGTTGTTAATAATAATAATAATATGTATATGTATGTATAATATGTAAACAAGTACAACAAATGATACAACATATACTACAATCAGAGATTCACCTCTGAAGCAAACCACATTATCACAACCCATTAGTATTCAACCCAAACGCAAAAGCCTAAACAGCACTTTAGACTCACAACATGACACACAACATACTGTAATATCTCCACCCTTAACTCAACCAACCACACAAACACAACTTCCTGAACAAACAAACGCAATAAATACAAGTAACGCAACATGCACTACAAAGACGCCCTCACCCAATAAAGTTACACGGCCTAGCACAGCTAAAAAACACAATACTCTTTCTTCTCAGAAACACACCACGTTATCACAACCCACTCGTACTCAACCCAAACGCAACAACCTTAACAGCACTACAGGCTCACAAAATACTGTAATGTCTCCATCAATAACCCAAGCAACAACACAAATACAACCTCAAGAACAAAGAAACACCATAAATACAAGTAACGCAACATGCACTACAAAGACAGGTCCACCCAATAAAGTTACACGCCCCAGCACAGTTAAAAAACACAAAACTCCTTCTTCGCAGAAACACACCACGTTATCACAACCCACTCGTACTCAACCCAAACGCAACAACCTTAACAGCACTACTAGCTCACAACATACTGTAATATCCCCACCAAAAACCCAAGCAACCTCACAAATACAACCTCAAGAACAAAGAAACACCATAAATACAAGTAACGCAACATGCACCACAAAGACAGGTCCACCAAATAAAGTTACACGTCCTAGCACAGTTAAAAAACACAAAACTCCTTCTTCACAGAAACACACTACGTTATCACAACCCACTCGTATTCAACCCAAACGCAAAGCCAAAGAAACACTTACACAATAAAATCCATTTAATGAAATTACAGGAATTATTATAATGATTCTGTTTTGTTTTGTTTTGTTTTCCTCTTTTTTGATAGCGTTGGCTATTGTGCCCATCAATACCTATGTTGGTAAGTATGAATTACATACTATCCCTAGATTGCCAATGCACGTGGGTTTTTTTTTTTTTTAAGGACCCTACATAACACTGCACCAGACACAGATACTAATCGTTACTTGATTTTAATCCGTGCGATTAGTTAACCAGGCTAGACCTGAGTTCTCACAAGAAACACCAACCATAATAATAATAATTATTATTATACCATAACCGACCATAATTACATACTATCTCTAGATTTCCAATGTGCGTGTGTGAATTTTTATTTTTTTTTAATTTTTTTTTTTAGGACCCTACATGACTTCACCAGACACAGACACTAATCGTTACTTGATTTTAATCCGTGCGATTAGTTAACCAGGCTAGACCTGAGTTCACCGATAATAATAATATGTATTAATAATAATGTTTATTACACACAACAATTGAAGTTATTTTATTACCCGTCATGAATTTAAAACATGAAAAAGTTGAAGAAGAGAAATGAAGATTATCAAAAATTAGAAAAATTTGAAAGAAATAATTAAAAAAAATAATTATGTATACACAAAAAAGGAAAAGTTCAGATTCAGAAAAGTTAAAGTCAACAAAATTAGAGAATGTATTCCCTGTGTCAAGTTAAAAACTCTACACACATGTATGGATGATGAAAGTGCATTTCTCATACATATTCCCTATTTTGGTAGCGTTTTTGACTGCGTCCTCAAAAATGAGGTTAGGTCCAATAACTTTTTTATCTGTCCCCATACACTTATTTTAAAACGCCAGATTATTCAACATTGTAATTGTAATAAACACTTTTCTGCATATCTTTTAACTAAAAAAATATAGCCCCATTCTGAAATTGACAATGTTTTGATTTTCCGCGTATTTCTTAAACGAGCAAAAAATTTTTGATTTTACTAATTTAAGTTTTACCCAAAAAGAGTACATAACGCCTATATTACTTTTTTGATAGCACTAACAATCGAGATACTCTACAAAGTATTGCCAATGGGACACCATGTACACAAAAATTCAAATTTTTTTGCCTCAGCGGAATTTACATTTTAATTAGTGACCAACTGATTTTTTTGCTACTGACATTTCGACATATTACTTATTGCAGAATTTTACTTTAAAAGTTTCTGAAAATTGACTAGCTTTTACAACATTTTTAAAAAGGAAATTAAGGCCGAAGTCCAGTGGGTTAGCCGGTTAGCATTATTGAAAAGAATTTTGAATTGGACCACCGCTCGCGAATTTCCAAGGAGAATACCAGAGACAATACATATTTAGAAATCTTTTAATTAGTCTAGGCACAGGTTAAATGTGGTTTTTATAACATTTTCCAAAATAAAAATATCGTTTGATGGAACATACTTACATACAAATTAATGCAGCAGGAAACAATTTTGACAAAATCCACATTTATGCACAAATTTTGTTGATAAAAAAGCAAAGCATCTTGCTGTCTGGTTACTTCGCTAAAGCACAAACTTCATTTCAATTTAGTTGAGAAAATGGCAAAACATAGTGTCTGATGAGATGATCTTAAATGTAGCTTCATCTTTCACATTCTCGTTCTCATCATTGTGGACAATGTAGTCATTACATATGCAAAATGTGTTATCGCGGTCTGCAGATGTGCACAGACTTGTCATCTTTTCAATGGCTCGATTGAATTTGATGATCTTTGATTTGTTGGATTTGTATGTGCCCCGAATAGCAGAATAACTATCAACATATATTTGAAAATGTAAAAAAAAATACATTTCACATGGGTGAGTTCAGTTGAGAGTAGGGAAGGTATTGCAATGAAGTGGTTGGAAACTTAACCTAAGACGAGCAGGCAGATTAGCGCATCCACGCGATATGAAACGGCACAGTGCAGCCGGCGAAACCAAGTTTATGTTCAATTCGAGAAAAATTAGGTCACATGTAACAAACCTGAGCAAAGCGTCGGGATAATTCAAACTTATATTTTATAATAAAAACAAGAAAGGAGAAGCAAAAAACAAAGGCTCAATAGCCACTCTTGAACAGTAATATAAAAAAGAGCATTCAAAATCAAAATGGCTACTGGAAAAAAAGATAGAAACTGAAAACAGGTTGATTGTAGTTTCGCCAAAGTTCATAAAATTTACCTTCTAGATAAGAAATCAATTTAAACAACGAAATGGAAATAATAAGTTTCTATTTAAAGAATAACTCGAGGAATAAAGTTTATCCTTCTTATAACATAAAAGAAATAGCAAACGGACGAGTACAAATGCATACGATGTATTATATAAAACCACCTTTTACAGTTTTTTTAAAATTAGGTAACAAATAGCTTGTCTAGGAAAAACATGCAAAATAGCCTGTTGATTGAATGTGCGAGGTACAGCCTCGATGCAGCATATGTTCCGCTCCAGCTTTTGTATTTACCTAATTCCATACATTATTATAAAAATGCCTTTTATAGCTAAAAGTGTATAATTTCACATAGGTATATAAAAATCATCACATTTGAATACATAATTTTTTTGTACTGAAATCGAAGAACCACGTTTTATTGAAAAAGTACAATCTCGTGTACATATTTTGCTATATTTTTCCAAACTGATCAAAAAAATTATGACATGTACCTACTTGTATGCAGAAATATTTGATGATTAATGGCCGTTTGCACCGATAAATTTAAGTGGAATAGCATAGCTTAAAATCCATAGTAACGATTATTGAAACAATGGTTGCCATGGATTTTAAGCTACGCTTAAATTTGTCGGTGCAAACGGCCATAAATCACACTTTTATTTGGTAAAAATCAATTTTTTTTAGAATAACCAACTAAGTAACAATTGGCATTTTTGACTGACGAGCTTTCTCATCTGTGATCTTGTCTGTGATTCCTTATGCGCGGGGATAAAACTAAGCATTAATGAATATGTACAAATCTGACTGCAGTTTCTGTAGTGTAGGAGCACCATCACCTTTTGATATACCTATCTATTGGTTTATCAAATATAAAATTTTTCCTACATTTAAAGGAATAGTTCTTTACTTCTCAGGTTATCAACATAAAGCCTTTTACAAATAGAATGACATTTATCTAATCTGGGTACGATAACATTACTTACTTAAAGGGCAGGGAATGAGAAAACATGCAAAACAACCACCAAATGATTACGTGTGAGTACTATTTAATTTACCTGTGGAGGCAGGGTGGATAGGTACAGTATCACCTTTCATGGTGCTCACAAGTACCACCAATTCTGATTGAGTTAAAAGACTCTCATTACTAACACATAACACATGTATAGCCTTCAAACATTGATCCGTAAGTCCTGTACTCGGTTGGCCTTCTCGACTTATTGTTTGTAAGACACCAACCAGATATTTCAACAGCACTCGACATGCGGCAGTTACTACGTCCAAATGATTAACTGACACTAAAACAAAAATCTGCATTTAGCCCTTTCAAGTTGCAGAGTTAGAAAGAAACTACTTACAAATTTCAACATTGCTGCTTATGTAGGTGGCAGATAATACTGCAAATGAGTTGTAAAACACTTTAGAACCCTCTTTAAAACGTAATATTTCGCTTTCGCTAAAATGAAAATGCAGTTTGGTATTCAATGACGGGATGTTGTATTTATAAATCGAATATGTCAAAAAATCATCAGGTCGGGAATAAAATTTCCCTAAACTGTCAAACTGGTAAAATGCATACTAACTTTTTAGTTATAGCTGAACACAACTCGAGCATTTCCGTCTTGGTAGAAGATTTATAATTTGTACAGGAAAGTGGTTTTATAATTATCGACCATTCTGTTCCACCACTGGTCGCGGCCATTTCATCTGACAAACAATTCTAGCTTACTAAACTAACCATTTAAGGTTTCTTGTGACAAATGAATTTTAGTGGTTGTCTGAATTTTATATTTGTTATATTGGCTGTATTGTTTGAATACAACCCATGTTACTTTATAGAAGCGCACACTTTTTACTGTACAGGGTGTTCTAAAAACATTTGCATCTTGATCTGATCTTTTGAATGGGAAACACTGCACTGCAAAAGCGATGTATAATAATGATCGGAAAGAACCTCTGGAGGCACGAACTTATAAATTCAGATAGACTGCTAATGCTGAATTGACAAATGACACCTATATGGGGGCAGCCATGATGTGCACTAACTTGGCGCGAAATTCAAATCAACTAATAAACAAGCATTAACCTCGCGTTTTCTAAATAAATTACTGTGACACATACAGGGTGTTACACGACCGTTCGAAAAAAAAAAATCGGGTTGTAGAGGGCATCAAAACAAGCACTTTTTCCAAATAAACCGAGGGTCCAACGTGTTTCGTTTGGGAGCCACCCCCCAAAGAGTGTTGAAATCTGCATTTCTTCTTTAATTTTTTTCCCAGCAACCATAAGAGTTACAAAGTCGGGTGGCATGTCTTTGAATAGGTTTTTGGGTATGCTCTTTCCGATTTTGCAATTTTTTTTTCAAAATTCCTACCCCTAAAGGGCGCACCCCTAAACTAGGGGGCAAAAAAAAATTCTGATTTCGACGAAATTTGGTATCTGGGGTTTTTTTAACATGAAAATCACGAATCTGAAATTAGTTTTTGAAAATTCGAAAAAAAAGTTCCACTGCAATTCTTGGCGGGACAACGAAAATAGAGATAATTCCACGAAATTTGTTGTGTACATACTAAACGAGTTAAGGAACAAAACTGTCGAACAGTTTTTTAAAATAACTTTTCAAAAGTTATACTCATTTGAATGTTGGTCCTTCGGGTCGCGAAGTGTCCCAAGCCTACTAGTAAGCCATAATTTCGCATGTGTTGGTTGACAATGTCGCAAAAACAAAAGATGAACGGTTTGAGTCGATATTTTGTTATTTGGAATTAATTCGGTCATTAAATGATTAAAAAATTCGATGTATCGATTAAAACACCTACCAAGGTATCTTAAAGCGCTGATCGATTATGTATTTATTATCTAAATAAGGTAGGGGAAAAAGTCAAATCACTTTCCGTATGATACTTTTTCACTATGATCAAAAATTTTCATAATCTTAGGTTGAAAAATAACTTCCAAAAGAACAAAAAAAAGATAATAAACAATCGATCAGCGCTTTAAGATACCTTGGTAGGTGTTTTAATCGATACATCGAATTTTTTAATCATTTAATTCCAAATAACAAAATATCGACTCAAACCGTTAATCTTTTGTTTTTGCGACATTGTCAACCAACACATGCGAAATTATGGCTTACTAGTAGGCTTGGGGCACTTCGCGACCCGAAGGACCAACATTCAAATGAGTATAACTTTTGTTTGAAAAGTTATTTTAAAAAACTGTTCGACAGTTTTGTTCCTTAACTCGTTTAGTATGTACACAACAAATTTCATGGAATTATCTCTATTTTCGTTGTCCCGCCAAGAATTGCAGTGGAACTTTTTTTTTCGAATTTTCAAAAACTAATTTCAGATTCGTGATTTTCATGTTAAAAAAAACCCAGATACCAAATTTCGTCGAAATCAGAATTTTTTCTTGCACCCTAGTTTAGGGGTGCGCCCTTTAGGGGTAGGAATTTTGAAAAAAAAATTGCAAAATCGGAAAGAGCATACCCAAAAACCTATTCAAAGACATGCCACCCGACTTTGTAACTCTTATGGTTGCTGAGAAAAAAATTAAAGAAGAAATGCAGATTTCAACACTCTTTGGGGGGTGGCTCCCAAACGAAACACGTTGGACCCTCGGTTTATTTGGAAAAAGTGCTTGTTTTGATGCCCTCTACAACCCGATTTTTTTTTTTCGAACGGTCGTGTAACACCCTGTATAATTTTCCAAGACTGCAATAGTCTCAAAACTTGAGCACTAGGAAAATTCCCCTAGAAAATAACTAAAACGTGCACATCATGGCCGCGCCCATGCTAGGGCGATTTCTACCTCTATGCAACTGTTTGATCAGCAGTCCATCTTAAACTATAAGCACAGTATACGGCCTTCTCAGAATAGAAACAGCAATGTTACAAATTTGTATTAAAGTCGCTAAATATATATCTATATCTAGTGACTTTAATTTGTATGGTATTTTGGCAGACCTTGGTGGGTGTGCTGTGAACTAAAACATCAAATTCAGAGTAGCGCCATCTGGTGACCAGCTTCTAAAGCCATGAAGTCATTTCCCCAATTCGATCTAAATCATAAATATCGATAAAGAATAGGTACACAGTTGTTAAATTAAAGTGTATTTAGATACAATCACATTACATTATTTAACACAGAGAACTTAAATTACCTACATGTTTACAAATTACACAATATAAAACTCAGAAGTGAGTGGAAACTTACGCTCACTTTGCAGAAAGATCCTTACATACCGATTTGTCGTACTAAATATTTGGTTTTAATTGCTGTTTGGACTAAATATTTTTGTTAAAAAATTTCTTGAGAACTAAATTTTTTGTTCCAAGAGGTAATAAAACCATTTTTTAGGCTATCATCACAAAAACGTTGATTTTGTGGACGCTTTTGCGGCCATAAAGTTTAACTTTATTGTACGCTTCTGTCAAACTTTACTTTATTGTACACATCTGTCAAACTGTACTTATTTGAAACTGATGTTTGAGAAACAGTAATCTGTTTAATACAAAGCGTCTATCTGGTCTAGCCCCATCAAGGATTGGGCCATACACGTGCGTTTTTTTCATTTTCGGACTTGTAGGAATGTTTCACACTATTTTGCATAATCACAATTTTCACATTTAAAATTATAGTTTGACGTTTCAATCTTTGCTGCTTGCAGACCTTTTTGAAGTGTAGAACCAAAACATGAGGAAGATGTTATTGCTTACATTATTATACGAAGAATCACCAGGAATTAACCGAGAACACAAGTAGCTACCTATACCTACCATCAAAGTAGGTAATCAGGTTTCTAATAATTGTACAGAATGTTAACTATAAGGTCTTGGAAGCTACAGTTACGAAGGATCTATTGCATTTGACACTATTAAAATCTTGTGCAACGGAGGAAGTTGGGATTGTACTTTTACTCTCAAACTCCTGCTCTTATATCATATATGACTTTTAGGGTCGCAACGCTTGCAACTTCCAAAATTTCATTTGGGGTATCTGAACTGTCGCTATCACCCATTTTGATACGCACAAAACACACGCAAAGATGCTAATTATTATTACATATGACAGGAAATGCTTTGTTTTTAATTGTCTAAGATAACTATGATTTTCAGAAAAAATATGTTTATGAGCAAATTTTTGAATTCTTTTTTGATGATCGCCTAAAAAATGTTGTGTGCACCTTGGCCAAAAGTGATTTGTTAGGCCTCATCTGAATTGCGGCCTCGGCTTTCGGCCAAAAAAGATCACTTTTACGGCCTTGGTACACAAATAACTATTTTCGCCGACCTCTCGATAACAATATAAATTACTCCTTAGTGACGAGTACAATGATAAAGCTTATTAATCGTTAGCAACCATTAATGGTTAGCAACCAACCATTATACGTTAGCAACCATTAATCGTTAGCAACCACTTATACATATAACCATTTTATTAAAGGGAAATGACAATTATATAACAATTCACTTTCGGCAACAGCTGAGAACTTCCATCCACCTAACCATTTTAATCTCGGTTTTAATGTAGTGAGATCAGCAGCCAGTATGGTCGCCAAACGATTGTTAAGGTATTCAGTTACTTTACCTTCAACATTGAGTACGTCGACCACAGGGATGAACATTTCCATATCTTTCACTGTTAATACACGTACTTTAGTACAGTTGCAAAAGAATTAATTACATTTTAATTTCAAATACCTTTTCAAGGTAAAATGTCAACGTGACATTTTCGTAAATATCTCCTTTCAAATTCATTGTATTCCATCAATTGCCGAACTGATCGAAACCGTTCCAATAAGTTTCTTTTGATTTGAGTGGATATAATGTTAAAATTGCCTCCGCAGCAGAGCAAGCAACATAATCTTCCACGGCGATTACGAGGACTGACGGTACAGCATAAAACAACACATTACTATAGCAACGACAATAGCTGTAATTTAGTGAAAAATCGTCGGAGCTCATAATTTCGTTTGTAATTTCTTGTAGTTGAATTTAAAATTACCTACCCCAGTGAAGTCGACGAAAAAACGTTGTATGCAATTCATGTATAAATCGGCGATTATTGGTTCGTTCGAATTTAGTCCACTCGCTGCGCTCGTGGACTAAACATCTCACTCACCAATAAAACGCCTCATTTATACACTCATTGCATAAATAACTATCAGCAAATTGTCATACCACTCATACAAGTTTTTGACAACAAACGTTAACTTGATCCTGGTGCTTACTTGTTACTTGCGAAGCGAGGGTGGAAGTTGTTGAATCTAAAAGGAATTACAATATAAGTATCTATGTCTATATAAATATAAAACTCAAGTCTACACCCTTTTGCGCCTATACCGTTGGTAATAAATAGGAGAGAGATAACAGCACATTTCAACTCTCTTCGCGTTTCAAGCACAAAACAATCCGTTTCAAAATATGAGAAACGATGTCTTTTTGATATTGTAACGGAAATGCTCCAGAATTCTCTGGAATGTTCTACGCGTATTCGAGAATGTACTGGACTTACATTGCTTGCGGACCGAACATCGCGGCAGTCTACTACCGAACGAGTACGGACGAAACATCGAGCGCGGAAATATAAATTGCGAAGTGTGTGTGATATAAATAATCGATATAAATTGTACGGTTTTTATAGTGTTTTAGTTTTGTTTAATAAATATTGATATAAATCGAACCCGAATTTATAAATAACGTTACATTGGTGTCAGAAGTGGGATTAATTAAATTAATTAAAAGTAAGTTTAAATTAAGTGCTTGTGCTTGTGTATGCC